CACTTTTGTTGAAGTTAAAAATAAAATTTATGTTTGGGAAAGGGAAAAAAAAAAATAAAAAAAAATTAATAAATTAACTAATAACTTAAAAAAGTAAGAATGAGATGAAAATTGAAAACAATTAAAAATATCTTAATAATAAAAAAATTAAACCGTGGGAAAATCTTACATTTAAAACAGCAATGAATAAAGTAATGATTAAGAAGCCAAAAGAAATCCTAGCCGTCGTGTAAAAACAAATGGGTGACGCGGTTTTCATGTCAAAGCGCATGCGCAGACTTTCAGCCTTATGTCATCAATGGTGCAAAAACTCAAAGAAACAAAGAGAGTTTCAAATAACAAGTCTGATAAGAGGACAGGGTAGCCGAGCGGTAAAGCGCTAGACTCCCATCCCAGAGATAGCGAGTTCGAATCCCAGCTGTGGAGTTACTTTTAAAATTCAGGGAAAATAATATTAATTTCCACAAAAATTCATTAAAGGTAATAAGTAAAATAATGATGTACTAAATAGTTAATAATTAAAAAGTTAAAATTAATGACGTATTAAAAATTAATCAAATAACAAAATAATATTAATCACATGTCAAATAATTAAAAATAATAAATTAAAAGTGATGTCATTCCAAACACGTGGTTAAGAGCTCATTGCCATAAACATAAAAAATAGTGTCGTTGCCACAAAAAATAAAAACTTTGAAAACATAAAATCGTTGCCACAGAATCAAAACGAAAGTTTGATGATGTCATTCCATCACGTGATACAAGATGGCGCTGGTGTCGTCACTTCCGGAGAAATCCAAGATGTCGGAGGTCACGCTTTTCTGTGACGTCACTTCCGGTTGTCACGTGATCCAAGATGGCGGAGGCGGCACATCAAAGGAACGCCCCATTGTGACATCTATTGTTCTCTTACGTCATCTATTGTTATATTACGTCATGGCGGCATCCTTTGACCGCACGGTTACCCCCGGTTACTACTCATGTATTATTTCTGTGAATGTACTTTAATTTTGACGAAAGCATAATATTTTTAGGTATCAGAAGTCCAGCTACTTTTTCAAAGAACATGATTTCAAGACCTTTGATAAAACTTCAATAACCGCACTTGAATGAGATTTCAAACCACATGTGAGGCTGAATACGGGTCCCGTTGATCCAAAGGTCTTCACCTCGATGGGTCCATTTTCGATTCTTGAACCTTAAGCAACGTTGTCACTGCCACCAGATCAAAGCGCATCCAGATAAGCAATTCAGGCTATATCTGGACTCCGCCGTCTCATTTCTCATGCCTCCTATAAACATAATAATAACACTATTTTAAACAGACTCTCTGAAATCTGAAGCGTTTGAAATCAAAAATATTGGTTTCTCGCGCATTAAGTTAATCCTCGCGATGTAGTATTTGGAAACCAGGCAGCAGGATAAATTTACGAGTTCTTGTGACAGCATGAATAAAACGAATTCTCCTATAATATGGTTTCGTAGTTTCTTGAATCCGAAGATGGAGGTGGTAAAAATACCCTTTTGGATGCAACTATTGATTTTGGCCAATCTTTGGTAGTTTGTCTACTAACCAATTCCCAGGGCAAAAAAAAAGTTTCTCAGTTCCTGACATCATATTGTGGGATACTGGCGACCTCCGTTTGTGTTTGCGTCAATTGGCGTCTAAAGGCTCGTTTCCACTACTGCGTACGAACGCGTTGCGTCAATTGAAGACACGCCTACGGCATCCGTACAAGCGTTTCCACTGCTGCGTATCCGTAAAATATTTTCATTTTCCGCCGCTAGGTGTCACTGTAATATTTTGGCGCCAAACAAGCAGTTCGCGAGTTACGACGCTGAACATCTGAATTTTTCCCGCTTTGTTTTGGATTTGATATGGATCCTGACGTAAAATGCAGAAAAGTTTTGTTTATTAAATTTCATGTTATTGGAAATTTTTATTTCTGCTTATGAATTGCGAAAGTAAAGTACGCTAGCAATTTTTACATAAGTAAAGTTATAATGCATATTATGAACATCACTAATTCCATAGAAGCTTGAGTAAATTAAAAAAAAAAAAAAATTGTGTTTCTAGAAGCCTTAAATATTATGAAATAATATATATATTATTAAAACTAAAATGTACTGTTAGTGAAAAAGTAAACAAATAAATAAATAAAATAAAAAAGTTAAAGGAATTAAAAAATAGTTGGTACTTTAAAAGTACAGAGCAACTGTAAAGAAAGGTTCACAAAATTTACGCAAAATTTGCTATGCTTGTATACCGCTGACTTCAGGGTCATAGCTGGATAATTTATTAGAAATCTCGTTTGTTTTAAAATGCACTATGGACAGTTATATTTTATGCATAATCCATAAAATATTATTTTTAATTTAAAACATTTTTAATTCATATCTCTTTTTATAAAAGTTATAAAAAATAAGATTTTTCTCTTTATATACACACATTAGATAAAGAAAATGGAAATATTTAATTAATTGATTCCTGCGCTTCTGCTGGAGAGGACTGAATTTAAAAGCAATTATTATAGTAATTTTTTGTTAAAAAAATGTTTAGGGCATGTCTCATGTTAATTGGAATGAAAGTTTAGAGTCGTAAACATCCCAAAATCTGAGCAGATGTATATACATTCACATAAAAGTGAAACGAATATATATATATATATATCTGCAGGGTTTCAAAATAAATTAAATTTAAATAATTCTCTTGCGCCATTGCTGCAAGGAATGAAATTTGAATTTTAACAAACATTTTCTATTTGTAAAAAGCAAATTAAAAGTTAATTAAATTTAAATGAAATTTAATAATGCAAACAAAATAAAGGATTAATTATTGCTGCGAACTAATATACAATATCATTTAAATTCTGAGAGCATATGTAAATCAAGTGCAAGTATCAAAATCCATGAATAAATATAATTCCAAAAATTTATTTATCTTATTATTCACTTATGCATTTTTATAAATTTTTTTAGGATTAAATCTATCCTATTATTCATTTATGCATTTTTATAATTTTTGTAGGATTAATAATCTATCCCATTATTCACTTATGCATTTTTATAAATTTTTTGGGATTAATAAATTTTTGGAATTATATATTTATTATCAAATTTAATTTATAATTAACGTTTTTAGTTTTTACCTGTTTCAAAAGAAAAAAATAGCAAATCTTTTAATCCTATCTAATTTGCTATAGCAGTTTGATATAGTCAGACATTCATTTTCATTAAAGCTAAATGAGTATGCAGAACTAAAAAATGATTATCAGACAAATTTTGCTATTTCATGGATTTGGAATTATAATTTTTGCCGCTGATTTTCTTGAACTGAATTTCCTGAACGAACAAGTACTGTAGTTGCAGTTATCTTGTTTTTCTTATCTTTTTTTAACTAAATTCAGCTGATTGCTGTCTTTTTCAGCACGCAGATTTCTCGCTATAATGTTAGTTCAGAAATAAGCATTTTTTAGCAAAACATTCTTTCCCTATTAGCGAGCGTTCATCGCTACTTCTGCCGCCATTAATTTTTAGTCACTGCACCTGATTGCTCCTTTTTTACCACGTGACCTCAACGCATCCGCAGACATACGGATAGAAGTTGAACATTGTTGAACTCCATCCGTATGTCATCCGTCACTGCACACCGACCGGATTGCAGATGCCAATCAAAGTGAATCCGCTCGCGGGCCTTAACAGTTAACCCACCATTTTTGTTCCGCATCTAAATAGTTCGTTTCGAAATTGTATCTAATGAATAATGATCCCGCTCAGAAGTCTCAAACACTACAGACCTCTATTCCATCATGCATTCCTTGCACAGTATTAATTGGCCTATTTCATGCGCTCACCGTAGATTTAATTTTGAGTTCAAATGCAGATAATTAATGGAAATAAATTGTAATGCCCATAACCCGAGAAGGAGAAGGAAAAGCCTAGCCAGCGGAATAATTAGTCCGAAGGAGCAGGTGGTCCGTTGGACGGAAGTAGAAAGGACGAACAAGAAGACGAGGGGGGCGAAGAGGACTTTGCACCCTGGTTGTCGGACGGGACGGGCAGAGTATTTTTGGGCGGATGAGAGTCGCCATTTTCTTTCGTGATGCAGAGATTGTTTTCTCATCCGGCGGAGACCATGCCGGACTTACCTGTTCATGCTTGTACATTTATGTATAATAATTAAGAATTGTTTACTTATTAAAGTTATTGTTAAACAAACAAAAAAAATGGGTGTCATCTATGCGTCGATCGACGGTGACATGTGTGAAGCAACTGAACCCTACGCTACGGTATAATACAACGATGCTTATCTGTCTCGGCAGGACTACCACAGTCAACTACATAAATAAACTACTAATACGTTGCTTGAAAATTTTAATCTTTGATCACATTTTTTTTAGATTATCCTTTAATTTTGACGAACTGTATACTAATTTAAATAATTCATAAATTCGAGTATTCTTATGGCAAGGAATACTTATATAATTTTTTAATTATTGTTTTTTCGGTATCGTTCTTGAAAAATGCAAGTGTCAAAAATAATTTTGGACAATGATATTTAATTTCCCAAAGGTATTATCCAGTAATTTAAGCTAGAAACTTAAATTTAGATTATAGAACATCTTAAGTGTTTCTAAACATTAAAAAAAAAAAAAAAAAAAAAAAAAAAATCAATGAATAAAGAAATCTTTAAACAGAAATTTAACGGGGAAACAGGAATAAAGAAAAACCATGAATAATTATTATCTGCTGTTTGAGAGTAGCTTGCCTTGTACATTTACAGTAGGAGTCCCAAAACTGTGACACACATGGAAAATAATAATAATGACTTAACAGTGGGTACTTAATTGCAGATATGCAATTGTAATTCTGTGAAAAGCTGAAACTGATTTTTGGTGTTATAATGCTATTTATAAAAATTCTATTCTTTCATCTACAACTGCTTTATAATATAGAATCCTTTTCGGTGATAAAAGCTATCATAAAATTGTTAATCTTACTTTTGCAGAGGGCTGCGGCGAAGAATAATGCCAGTAGCAATGCTGAAAGGTGTCTTGAGCAATTCATCTGGAAAAAAAAAAAAAAATAATGAAACTCTGTAAAGAACTTTCGTGCTTTCCTATTTACATTCTATCTCCCACTAAAGAGAATTTTAAAAGTAAATTATTTTACATTCTACGAAATAAATCTCCTCTTATGCAATAGAGAAACCTTCGTGTCTGACTTTTATTCAAAATCTTATAATTAATTAAATTATAAGATTTTGAATAAATCAAATTTAATTTCCTTTTATTCTTAATTAAAAAATTATACCCGCATGCTTCTATTCAATATGGTTTGATTTATAGAGGATTTTTAATTACTATAATTTTAAAAATTTATGCACGCAAAACAGTCCTATTGCGTATTTGTAAACTTCGCTCGCATTCCTCTACTTTAATCATTAAGAACAAGATTTGAGAAAAGCATTAATTATCTTTTGTCAACAGACGGCGCTGGTTATCACACTGAATTTCTAATGTCAGGATTTAGAGTATGTTGTACTTCGTTATATTATTGTCTGAAGCTATCGTGAAATTCATGCCAAAGAAACAGAAGCATAACAGCTGAGACGGTCAAGCAAAGTTGCTGTCCTTAGTTAAAACCACACAAATCGTGATAATGAGACTACAGAACAGGTTCGAGACCCGGAGAAAGCATGGATGTTTTGTAAGTGTATAGTGGTCTTTGCCACAAGAGGGCAGTCCAAACACACTTTTACCCGGCTATTTATTTTGCATCCGCTTACAGGATTATTTGCATTTTATTTACTTTTGGCATTTTTTTGCTTTTTGTTCTTAGTATCGAGATCGTTAGGCAGAAAATAGCAGGTCTAAATGCCGACTTAGAAGGCATTAAAACAAGCAAGGAAGGCTAATTGAGAACGAAACTCTTAGTTCTGTGTAGTAAAGATGTGATCAAATTAACTATCCATGTTAGTAACCTGACAGATTTCAGTGCTGCTATCGGGCAGGAAGGTATCGCATTCAATGCAGAGTGTAAGCTTTTACCCAAACCTAATATTACAAAATTAGATTCAAAAGACCTTAAATCCAAAATTATAAATATATAGACAAACTTGAAATAAGAAATATACATTCCACTACAGCAAATTTCTAATGATGTACCGGATACAAAAGAATCCCGTATTTCGGATTTTTATGAATTTGATTCAGTTATTAATATATTTATTAAATAATATTTATAAGTTTTCTCGAATCTGTTAAAAAAACTGCCAGTGGCCGTCTGGCTAATGGTACTGATTACTGATAGTTAGACTCGCACTTAACCCAGGCGAATGGAATGAATGCATGGTTGAAATTCGCAGTTTCCTTATATCTAATGTAAATATGAGGCAGTTTTATGTAGAAGTTGATCAGTTTCGACACAGAAGTTTTATCTTACATTCACAAGAAAACTGTCAAAATAATTGCAGTTTCCATCGAATGTTAATAGTTCTCTCAGCTCTTCGGCTTCATGCGATAAAATCCTACAATCTAAATTTGGATCAAAATATAGTTTCATATAAAAAATTAGTCATCATAGTTGGCATCAGAGTTTGAGCATATTTATGAATACATGGTTGCGATTAATATTGAGTGCTAAGAACATTATCTAAAGGATAACGTAATTAAAATTGAAATCAAATCTTATTGAATACAAATCTTATCTAATCTGCCAACCCAGTGACGCAGGTTTTCAAGAGGCAGAACGCTTGCCTCACAAGTTGAAACCTCACCTTTAATACACCCGAATTAGTATGCATTCTGCTCTGAAAACGGAAGTAAGAAGTGACGATAGAGATCCAAAACATAAAATAACTGGTTAATATAAATCAGTGACTCTTAACCGGGGGTGTGGGAATGTATTTTTGGGGTTTACAGAAGAAGCCCCTACCTAACCATAAAAAGTATTAAATATCATTTATTAAATTTCTTATAATAAAATATTCGAAATCAGCAACAGTGTCCCCAATATTGAAGCTCATAAAAATTGGTAGCACCTAGCTCACTTCTCGGCAAAAGACACAGGAAAGAGCCGGTGCCGATGGGCGTATACACTACGCTACGAAAAGGCATAAACGCTACAAACGAACGCGAACAGGCAGCTAGGTGAAGGAGAAAAGAAAAAAACTTTGTGGGAATACAAGCGGAGAACGTTATGCCAGCTTGCGCACGTGCTGAGTTCAATATGTGCTACTCCAATGGAATCTACGGATTCGCAGATTTGTATCTGCATCTACTGCGCCTGTGCTAGGTTGAGGCAAGTTGAGTCAAATATTGTGTCTGCGACATGTGTACTGTGTATTCTGACTTGTCCAGAAACCTCTTGAGACTAATACATTCTTAATTGCCCGTTCAAGCCGAATAGGATTCAATTATATTACAAACGTAAGAACATTATATATATTATATTACATTATTTCTAAATAATAAAATCGATTATAACGAACCCCACTATGTCAAAAAAAAAAAAAAAAAAAAAGACAATGGAACGATAAGTATGACGGTTATGGATTTACCTGCACAACCGAGAAAGATGGTACGCAACGACTGCAATGCATCTTGTGTTACAAGATATTTTCAAACAGCAATCTCAAACCGTCAAAGTTATTAGAGCATTTCAACAATTTGCATGGTGACGAAAAAGCGAATAGCATGAATAGCTTGAAGCCAAGGAAGGCTCAGTTTGATACCAGTGGAACTATCCTAAAATTGTGCGGTCCAGCAATTCAAAAACCTTTATTAGAAGCGTCATATAAAGTGGCATATTTATATGCAAAAGAAAAAAAAAAGGAAACCTCACACGATCGCTGAAGAGTTGATTAAACCTTCTGCTTTAATTGTAGCTAAAACAGTTTTAGATTCGGAACCACATAAAAAAATCCAACAGATTCCATTATCGAATGATTTTATACGATCGCGAATACAAGATCTCAGTGAATATATTTTAATGCAAGTAATTGAAGGCATAAAACTCAGTCCACTAAAAATAAGCCTGCAACTGGATGAGTCAACTGATGTTGATAATTGTAGCCAACTTTTGGTATTTGTCAGGTATGTGAAGGAAAAAGAGGTAATAGAAGAATTTGTATTTTGTGAGCCACTGGAGGTGAGAGGAATTGATGTTTTCAATCGCATCAAAGATTTTTTTTACTAAATATCAATTACCAAGGAATGTGATTGGCCCAATATGCACTGATGGAGCCCTAGCAATGTTAGGCAAAAATTCAGGATTTTTTTCACACATGAAAAGAGAATTACCGGAAGTTATAATAACGTATTGCATGTTGCATCGTCATGCATTTGCGTCGAAAGCATTGCCAGAAAGTTTAAAACAACATCTAACTACAGCAGTAAATGTAGTAAAATACATCCTACATACAAAGAGTTGAAAGATTTAAAGATTTTTTATTTATGATTAAAAAATATATATTTAAAATGCAATCGAAATTTTGCTATTTGTAAGTTTCAGCATTGTCACAGAAGGAATGAAATTTGGACCAAGTATTAGTTAAAATAGATATTATTAATTGCAGTTTAATGAATCTGGATTGAAATTCAGCTGATAATCAATGATTTGTGAATAAACTGCATAATAATTAGGTAAATTTTAAAACCAATTTATTTGAAAATAAAAGGCTTATAGTAAAGAAAACGTCTAAAGTTTGTAATTCTGAAATTTTCTTTAAACTATTTTGTAAATATGAAATGTGCATTTCTCTCCAAATTTCCATGATAGAATTACATTATCATATTTTAAATAAAATTTATTCTATTTAAACAAAATTATTTGAATTATTAATAGAGCGGAATTCTTTGTTCACTGGCTTTCTTCTAATTTATAATATGATGTATTCTCATTATTTTCCTATTAAAATGCTTATCAATATTCGGTAACATTTTGCTCATTTTTACAAGATGAAAACAAGAAGAATTTTTAAAGACTTATTTGATTACTTTCTTCATTAGTGTCGATCGTCAATAAATGAAAACGTAATTACATATATATACTCAACGAGCACGGATAATTTTCAAAATCTAACCAAAATATTTATCATTATATTCACTCGTAAAACGTCGAACAAAATTCACGCTTTCTGCACCCCTGGTCTCAGAAATGAGTTGTCAACCTTTCTTTTGCCATTACCTGAGTAGCTGTGTTATCTGAGTATTCCCTCTTTTGTTTAGCCTCAACACTGGCCTTTTTGCTATTTTGCAAATGGTCTTTCTTCTGCTTACATCTATCCGTTACTGAAATCCATTCAAGGAGAGAAGCTAAAAAGATGGCAGTACAGTAACCAATGGAAAATTAACAGATTCGTTTAAATAGGTAATATTTAATTTTCTTTTAGTTTACTTCTTAGACGAAAGGAATTCTAATCGAATAGAAAATTGTAAGCGCAGGTGTTTCTGGAGACTAAAAGAATAGATTTTGAGGTTGACCAATGCGAAAGAAAACAAGTGATGGAAATTTCCCTTTTCTCCTCCAACAACTGATTGTGGGCAAATAAACTGACAAGTAAACGGTTTTTACCTCTCAGTTTCGTTTCATTTATAGTTAATTGAAATTTAATACGTACAATCATTCCCAAAGATATTCTGTTACATGAAGAGACTACTTTATTGTTTTGAGTTGCTTTTGCTGCACTTAATGATTAGTGTCAAGTTAAAAAAATGACTTCTTTATTTTAAATAAGTTTTAGAACGAGAATTAGTTTAAATAATTTCGTTTATTGTTCGGCTTATTGTAAATAAGTTGTAGAACTCGGGGAAAAAAACTGAAGAAGTTTAAAAGAGCGTTGCTACTCAAAGAAAATACATAAATTGTACTGTTGCAGAAAATCTAAAATATTAGTAAACAGTTAACTATGCCATAATCATAAAAATTAAAATTTACGACGACAAATTTTGTCAGACAGTTCTGAAAGAGAAGCAGGGTCCACCAACTATCAGGCTCGAGTTCAAATCCCAGCAAATAGGTAGACTACATAAGAGTTTTTATTTTCTTTTTTTTGGTGTATAATA